AGAGAGAGAGAGAGAGAGAGAGAGAGAGAGAGAGAGAGAGAGAGAGAGAGAGAGAGAGAGAGAGAGAGAGAGAATATGACGACAAAAAAAAAACAATTAATAAAAAAAAAACGGCAGTGTAACAACAACGGCTCCGCCTCCCTCTTCGTCCCTCTCCTCTGCCGCAGTGTAGCTGCGGCGGGTCTACTTGTGTATGTAACTGAGGCAAGCCCTGGGCCAGATACGCAACATGGACCAAACACCGGCTGCGGGCAGTTAGGCACGGGTAACCACCACAGGCCCTGGGCCTGAATCGTTTGGTCTGAGGCTCAGCCTCTCGGGGCGTACCAGAAGCTTCTGGACCGGGTCCAAGTGCAGCCTTGCCACATGCAGCAGGCAGGCCACTTCCATTTAGGAAAGGGCCTGCCTCCAGATTCGGCATTCGGGCACTGGCTGCACGCTGCGCAAGCGCTGCTGCACTAAACGCTGGCCAGGCCCACGCGCTCACGGGCGAGCAGGGAGAGCAGGCAGCCATAGCCGAGCTGCGCTGCATTGAGCTGGATGGGGCGCATGGTGGTCCTTGGGTGCATGTGGCATCTGTGAGTGGGGAATCGAGGTTGTGAGTGATACAGGAGATATACCTGGTGCTTGAGGCGGACGGCATTGGCCGAGATCTGCTTGTACTTCGGGGAGCAGTTGACAACACCAGCGGCATTGTAGATAGGCTAGATAGGATCTGCCATTTGTAGTCTGGGCGCAGAGCGCCAGATTGGATATCGACATTGGTTCTTTGTTGATGATGATGAGACTATTCCAACATTGTCACTTATGAGCTTTTGCTGTGCTCTTATTTGGTGAAACTCGTGTTGCAATTCTGCTTTTGGTTCGAGGTCACGACTGTCTGGTCTCATGTGTATGATGCTGCTTGGTTTCTGAAGTTCGCTATGGCTCATTTTCCTTGCATATGTCTAATAAGTCAGCAATAGAATGTCTCTGTCTTATTAGAATATGTCTATTTTATTGATTAATTGATTTTTTTGGATTTATTTCATTGTATTAATTTGTATATTCCTTTGTTTTTTTTAATCCAAAAATGAATATTCTAAAATATTAATATTTTATTTGTTATAAATGTATAAAAACATATCAATATGCATGTTTTAAATTTAAAAAATGTTACAAAACAAAGTCAATTTGGATATAAAAGAAAAAATAATAGTAGTAAAAATTGCATATAACATATAAAACAGAAATATATACAAAACAGAACTAATTCATACAATAAAAAATATAAAAAATAAAGATACACATAACACTCCCAGACTGGCCAACACTGCATACCTTTTGCATAATGGGTCAGCCAATAAATTGATACAGCAAGCTTAAACCATTAGGTGTAGGCGTAATGAAATTGTAGATAGTTGTATCAATTTGACTTGAAACCGGGTGATCACCAAAGGGGCGAAGCACACAATTCCGAGTATCCGGGTACTAACAAAAAAAAACAATCACTGAACAAATCCATTGAGGACTTGCACCCACCAGCAGGTACGATACCTGCTACAGCAGGTGGGCGACACCGGCCAGGGGTCAACCGGTAGCATCAGGACCGAGCTTCTTCGATGGGCCTGCCTCCCCTCCGGTCCCCTCCCCCTATGAACATCAGCACTCTCTGCTGAATGCCACTCGGGGAGACCAATGGCCGCCAGGCTTGCCCAGGAAGCTACATGAGACCAATGGGAATTGAACCCAAGACCTCCTGAATGCCACTTGCGTGCCTTACCAACTAAGCTAGGCCGCTGGATTTCGGTGACAGCTTTCACGTTACCTGTCCTTGTTTATTTGTTTTTTCTTTTTAACCAGTCCCTCCGCTAGGAGAGGTGATATATAAAACAAAAAAAACAAAAAAAAAGCTACCTGTCCTTGGACTCAGCGAAAAGGCACGCCTTGGCAAGCCATGAACATTGCTGAAGGTGTTTCAGATGCCAAAGCAGCTAGAACTTGAGGGACAGAGTTCAGAGAGAGAGAGAGAGAGAGAGAGAGAGAGAGAGAGAGAGAGAGAGAGAGAGAGAGAGAGAGAGAGAGAGAGAGAGAGAGGGCGTACTAGGACTTCTTTGAATGCATGCTCTACGGCTGCACCAGAGAGAAGAAATGCTGTACACAAGGACTCTTTTTTTTAATGAATCTGGGATTACTTCCCGTCAGATACCTCCAGCACGGTAGTATTGAGTTTATCCAGTGTCCTCAGAGTATAATTAATTTAGTGTTAATTTCAGTCAGAGATCTCCAGGAAATCGTCAGTGAGACAGTATGCCATTGCTCACAAAAATTTTCCTCGGAAGCTTAACAAAAAAACAGGACGAGCAATTGAATGCCCATTTTTCCTACGAAGTTCACCTTGTCTCGTTGCGCCTCGAGACAATTGAAGTCGTGAAAGGCCGCACACACACAGAGAGAGAGAGAGAGAGAGAGAGAGAGAGAGAGAGAGAGAGAGAGAGAGAGAGAGAGAGAGAGAGAGAGAGAGAGAGANGGAGAGACGGGGGGGGGTACGGTGGTGGAGCAGTGAGAGCTTCTTGAAGTTCGCGCCGTCCACGACGACGAGGTAGGACGGGTCGGTGGATCGCCACGTGGCGAAATGTGCCACGTGCACGGCTGCCACATGTGCATTCTCCATTGAGGTTGCAAATAATTAAAGGGATTTTTTCATTTCCGAACTAGACGGACCTATACAGAAGTGCTGGCTGTTAAAGACTACGCTTTTTTCGCCATACATTCATACATTTAAGTACATATGTGGTCATATGTCTATATATATATAATATATGTATGTATATATAATATATTATATATACATTATATATGCCGGTTTTGATCAGGTGTCGCTCACTGATCATCCTGATGACGGCAGCTTGGCTAATGATTCTTTCACAAAAAAAAGAGGAAAGGGGGGAGGACAACAGGTTATGGGCAAGGATAGGACGCAGAAATCACGTACCCCCGGTCGTCCGTCTGAAGCGAACGGTCGCTCCACGAGAGACATTCTACTAGCTTTGACGCAGAACGAATGGTCTAAAAAGAATTGCCAGCCTATTCCAAAAGAGAAAATGAGAGAAAAAAACATCGAAGTCCTGCCAGCCTCCGATGGCTGGAGGGAGACAACAAAGCTATGTTCGCAGTGCTCCCCTGTATAAGCCTTAGGAATAGTGGTAGGTAGGTAGGTAGTGAAGGTGAACTTGTAAAGAATAATTTGAAAGATGATGAAAATATTTGAGAGAAGAATATAGCGTAGTTCTCAAAAAAAAAAAAAAAAAAAAAAAATCCGTCGAAGTCTTGCCAGTCTATGACAAACGACATTGACGTTCCAGCATCGTGAGCTTGGGATGGATGTCGTGCGTCTCTTCGAAAAACAAAGCGATCCATTTTTTGCCGCTATGGCTCCGAACTGGGCCCAAGTCCCACTTACCCCGATTCTTCATTTCTGACCATTGATCTTCGTCATCTACGGTCCCAAAATGAGAATTCGGGAAAGTTAGAACTTGGGCCCTGACGGAGTACCAAGGCAGGAAATCCAGCCTGTGAAATCACACTTGTTGATCACAAGGGCGGGGGGGCTTAATGGGTGAGGCGGCCACCCAAACGGCCACAAACGGAGCGCAGAACGGCGCCCATTTTCGGCAAGGGAGTCTCTTTCTTCCATTACCATGACGGTTTAAATCCCAACGCCCGTTAAGCTGATGCACCCACGAACTGTTGAAATCCAAACGGAGCGCAGAACGGCGCCCATTTTCGCTACCCGGACCGAATGGATCTATGGCGTACCAATTTAACTGGCCTACTGGCTCAGGTGGTGCACCCACGAACTGTTGAAACTTGAAATGAGAAAAAAAAAAAAAAAAAAAAAAAAAAAAAAAAAAAANAGATGAGTAAGCTTGAACTCGGAGTTAACCAGCCAGGGGTGGGCAAGCTCGAAGGCCGAAGTTGGTAGCTAGCTATGGCGTCGGCCAGCCATCGACAGCTTGCTGAAGCACGAATTTGGCCAAAGTACGCAGCTGCTCGTCCGTGAGACGAGGGCCGAAGGTGCACTGACCTCTGGGCTGGCACTGGGCGCCATAGCCAGGCATCTTCCTCCTGCCATAGTAAGAGATCTGGTAGATAGAATCTTCGTCCGCCACGTCGTTTCTGGCTAAGTCCCGTAGGAAAAGAGTTGCCCCTGGCTGCACGACATTCCCGCCACCCACGTGGCATGCCACACAAGACTGATTAAACAGAGCCGCCGCCCCGCCATCAGGAGCTACCCCCTCCTCTCTCCCATTCTCTCCTGCGAATGCCAGGGGACAGAGGCCGTGGGTCCAAGTCAGGCAACCTGCCAGAACCACTCCCAAGCACACGTGCAGCACCCGCCGACCCATCCAAGCGGAATCTCCCCCGCCGCCATCCATTACCCCTGCCCCCCTCTCTCTATCCTCTTCAGCCCCTTCATCCACTGTTGGGACAAGCTCAACTTTCCCCATACCCGCCACCCCCGACTCCACGCGCGGCGACACCCCCCCAAAAAAAACGGTCTGATCCCCTCCTTGGGCAAAGCAACGAGCTACTCTTTCCTTATGCGGAAGGTCTGATCCCCCTGATCTCAGCCATTTACCGGTCGCCATAGCCGTCACTTTCCTATTCGGGCGGTTCAAGCTCGGCCTCAGACTCTGAGGAAATATGCATCGCCTGCTCAAAACTCCTGACCCGAAAAAGCTCCTCGTCGGTCTTTCGCCCTCGCTGTGCCAGCTCTTCCAACGGGATCCCGACGCACATTCTGCTCCCATCAGTCTAACTACCATGGCAGCTGTCATCCTTGATGACACCGGTTTTACCGATGCCGTGGAGAGCGACGGTGTCCACCTCAGCCAGCGAGACAGACAGGGCCGACGGCCAGGAGGAGACCTTCGCTCCCGCACACTGACCTTTGGCAGTGGTTCCTCAGGAAGCTATACGAACCCTCCACAGCCTATACAAACCTCTCACAGATGATACTGAAATCGAGGTACATTTGGGTGTCGCTGCACTAGTCTCCGCATCGACAAAAGACAAAAAAGATGGCAATGTATCTTACCATGTTCTAGCGGTGGATTCCGTCTCATGTTGCACATTTGGGGAGTAGTTCCGCGAGGTCCATTGTCACCCGCCGACACGGGACCAAACACTGAACAAAAGTGTGTAGTGTGTAGGTGCACACACTTTTATTCCATATATACATACATAAATGAACTTCTACATCCGAAGTCGCGACTTCCCGCCGGACCCCACAGACCGAGCTCCCCATCGCGGAACACAAGGGCCGAGCCTTTTTTTTTTTTTTCTTTTCTTTCTATATTCTTCTCTCAACTTCTGTTTTTGCCTTTCACTACCTACTCATAACGCTATCTAGAGGGGACCCCTGCAAGCATAGTTTCCTCTCACTGTGAAGGGGAGATTTCATGTTGCCCCTTGCCCCTAATGTTTAGGGTATATGGTTGGGGCCGCCAGTGGGGTTCTGGCTAACACAAAGACCGAGACCTGCCAGTAGCTGCGCCTCCCTTTTTCATCGTCCCCACCCCTCATCGAGTAGAAGCAGTGGCAATGGCCAGCACTCCCACACACCACACACAACCCGCTCGCGCTCGCACTCGCACCCATGTTGGTCATAGATTCCACTAATACCGATCAGGAGCGGCCCCTTTTTTCCTACGTGGACCTAAACACCCGTTTTCCAAATCTCAGTCCGCTTTTTTTTTTTTCTTTTCTTTTTTTGGGTCAGTCCGTTTACCTACAAACCCGTTTCCAAATCTCAGTCCGTTTACCTACCTTCCGGGTGCGTTCTCCGGCCCATGCAGATGGAAATCGGCAGTCTGCAGGGCGGACATGTAGCCGTCCTTCATTCCTACCACCGGGTAGAAGGCCGGACACCGGACAAGAGGTGCTGCCGCACCGGGACAAGCGGTGCGTACCGGACATGAGGTGCAGTCGCACGGTACCCTGGCACTGTGTGGACTTGGGAGGTCCGCGAGATTCCGGTTTTCAATTTGTCGCGCCCCAACAGCCTTGCGATTTTGAAATTCGTTGTCAAGCCGTGGGGCCGATATACAACAGGGATGTAGGCTGGCTGCATGCACAAGCCTGCTTTTTTCTTCCGCCATGTACAGGTTGCTTGTGAGTGGTGTACGCATGCCGTGGGGGGGTCCGCTGGTTCGTCTCCAAAGCCAAGCTCCGCGGGCACTGAACGGCAGGCCACGTGTTGTGTCACAAGCGCGGCTTGGCAGACTCATTTGCGCGTGTTGCAGTCGCCGAAGGTTACCAGCAAGCAAGAGGGTGCACTGTGCGAGAAGGTGTTGGCTTTCGTCCTGTCAACTTTTCTACGTCGACCATTGTCAAAACTTGGCGATGGTGTTCATGTTGGCAGCGGACGGACGGAAGGCGGCTATGTGTTGAGTGGACGGGGAGGTCGTAGGTGGCAGGTCCGCCCCCACTAGTTGATTGGTGTTGACACGTGTGCAGGCCGTGTGACGGATCGTCCCACAGTTCTCGTCAAAAACACTGCAGTGAAGGCATGGCATGCAACTTTGGGCTGCTTCATGACGTGCAATGGTTTCCATGTGCGTGTTCCTGTTGTCGATGTTGCACAAGAGGTTAACGGGGCATCTGGTTTTCACCTGTAGTCATCGTCATTGAAGGTTCGCATGAGGGTCGCGCCTGCTGCGCGGGTGGTTTTGCCTGCTGCTCGACCGTTGTCTTTTTTCTTCTTTTCAGCGTTGTCCTGCTCGTGTGTGACGCGCAACCTCACGCCTTGTGCTGTCTTTCGTTCGGAGTACTAGATGTGCGGAAAGAGGCCCAGAAAAACAGCAAGATGGGGTGTGCCAAGGATTTTTGGAAATTGAGTGTGGGGACACAGACGAAACTGAAATCCCCTGTGTTGGTCCGATGAGGTAAGCCGGTGGCTTTCGCGCATCACAGAATGCGCGCGCGGGCACGGCGCGAAAAGGAAAAAATCCAAATTCAATCCAAAAACTATTGTCGAGCTTCCCACCGTGCTACAGCTCGTCGTTTAGAGCGAAAGGGCTTTGGCACGCTTCGCGTGTCTCGTTTTCGTATCAAATACCGTCGTCGCTCGCTGGTTAGTTATGAGTCTGACGTGGATGGTCTCAGCCGCGTGGCTCTTTCCTTATACTCGTCTTCACTCCGTATTCAGTAGTGGAAGCCCTTTGCTTCGTAGCGATCGAAACGCTAGCACTCTGTGCACAGGGTTCGAGGCCAATGGGGCGCCACTGCCGTCCACGGAATGATGATCAACTCGTTAAAGGGGAGCAATATAGAGTAGGGTGGAAAGTGCGTGTCGATAATGACAAATCCAACATCCACAAATCCAGAGCAACGATTTTCGGGAGGAAAGTAATATTGTCCACCGATTCGTGTGACAGCTTCTCGTACGTCCCACTCGCATACACGTGTCTTTTCATCATCGTAAGGAAAAGGTCACGTTGATACGGGAGATACGGGAGGCAAACGCCCGATCGAAGGGCGTTTATCAGTCCACATGTCAATCAATAACAAAAATCCCGGGACGTTATCAAGGAAAAACACTCACACAACCACCAATCAATCCTTATCGGCACGAGGGAGAGAGAGAAAACACTCATCAGCTTGATTAGGCATGTAACTAAGGGACCGACCCGCGACTCAGGTTTAGTGAGCCAACGCGGTGTTGATCCAAGGCGCCTTGTTTTTCGGGGCCTCCCTGTGGCTCGGTTGCTGATGTCGTGCAGCATAAGGCAGATGGCATGCGCAGTGCATTCAGAAATACAGATCTAAACACTCTTGCATTCTCGGGCAAAATCCTGCTGAGGGCTGCGTCTAATCAACACAACAAAAAAAACGCGCATCTTCATACATACATTCACTGTGGAAGGTGCGAAAATGACAGAGGTATACAAGTCAGAAATCAACCGAGGAAATTGTACACACGCATCCATCGTTCACAAGACAAGAGGATCAATTCCTCGACATCTGGGGATTACCCAGGGAACTAATGAAAGAGTTCCGGAAGAAGTTCTTTCATACAGGAAAGCACACAGATTCATTCTCGTTCAAGAGAGAGAAAGACAAACATCGAGACACATCATTATTCAAAGATAGAGGAGAGAGAGGGAGACGAGGGAGGAATGTCGATATAGAAGATGACAAAATCTGTACAGAGGAAGTTCGACGTTGCCACCGTGCACTCACACCCGAGATAAAGATCCGCAACAACAAAGGTGCATTCGCCGTGAATTCCAATATGGCCCCGGGCCAACCACTCACTCAACTCCAATCATCGATCCTCATACCCGCACCGACGATCCCGGTCGTCGCGTGCTAACTCCCACTACTGCGATCGTCACCCCGCCGACGTAAACTCGACGCGGTTCGCCCAGATCCCACAGTCCGTCGTGGTGATTAAGCGCGCAACCAGCCAGCCTATCGTCAGCCCGACAGGACTTTCCGACTCGCACCAAACACTCTGCCTAGCCACTGCTTCCCGGAAGCTGGCTTGGGAGTCGAGAACGTAAGAGAGGTTTGCTGGCGCGTTTGCAGAATTTATAGTGGCGATAAGGGGGGCGAGGGAGAGAGAAGGCAGAGGGAAAGTCGAAGTGTAGGGAAAGAAGCAGGAGGAGAAGACTTTGAGAAGAGCGCTCCGTGGAAGCCATGTTGATCCCTCGAGACTCACGGTTCAACCAATCAGATTCGTCGCGCAATAGGAAGATCCTATTGATCGAAGTACCTGATTGGCGAGCGGGAGTTATCGAAGGATTGACCGGGCGTCGTGCGCTGAGTTCGGAGGGTGAGAAAAAAAAGGCGCGAGAAGTAGCGCAAGACGGGTCCAAGATTCAGACGATCAAGAAAGGGAAAATGGGCGCGCAAAGAGTAGAGCGGGAGAGAGAGAGAGAGGAAGAAAAACAATTACGAGAAGAGAGAAAGAGAAGGGGGGAGGAAAAAGGAGCGCGGGAGAGAGCGATGCGGGGGACAGAGAGGAGAAATCTTTGCATGCGCGACGTCGTCAACAAAAAAAAGAGAAGAAGGCACCGAAACAGTTACAACTTGCCTACATCCTAAACCAATTTAAAATTGAAATCACCATATCCGCGCGCGAAAGAGCGACGCTAGAAAAGAAAGTCCTACGCCTATTCGTATCCCCACAAAATTCCGAGAGTTTTCCCCAACGCGACCGAGAACATTCACACACAAAAAGGACACGTCAAAGTTCCGCTTATCCCGGAATTCCCAACTGCCGGACCCAATTCCCAGTGCGTTTGCTAAGGCACGTGTAAATTTCCATGTATTTCCTGAATTGCAAAAAGCAGAATAGAATCAACCAAGCTTTCGACAAAACGGGGGCCAAAAACACGGCGCCCAAAATCAAGAAAACAAGCGGGGTAGTCGTAGGGTCGGTATGGTACAAGTCTTAGAAAAATTCGAGCCAAAGAGGTACGAAAGATAGCACAGGTTCGGCAAGTAGTTCGTCACACGTGGTTGCAAGCGTTGTTGTGTTAACGTTTGCGAGTGTTTGCGCTCGACCGTTGTTTTTTTTCTATTCTTGTCTTCCGTGTCTAACCACAGCCGCCTGCTTGCCTTTCCAGTCGGGAAGAATTGCTTCGTTTTCCATAAATTGGGGCATGCAGCAGAGAGGGGCGACATTCTGGCGAAAGGCGGAATTTCAGCGTCGGTGTTATGATTTCGCCGCTGCACCGGCAGCCTCTATTTCCATGTCACCATAGCGCCGCTAACCTGTGGACTCGAAACTTGAACATATCTGGTTGGAGTGTTGCAGCAAAGGAGGTGGTGTTTGCGTAGGGTGGTGGAGAGAGAGAGAGAGAGAGAGAGAGAGAGAGAGAGAGAGAGAGAGAGAGAGAGAGAGAGAGAGAGA